GGGTTTAGTCTAACTGAGCTTGGGTTTTAATAGAGAACTTTGGTTAAAAGTTCCTATTTGAAAACTTAATGGGCTAAAATGACTTAAATTTGAATGAGTGCAACTGTAATCCATAAGTGCAACTTTTCTTCTATTATGTGCCACTCACGGATCATAGTTGTATTCGCTTAAATTTAAGCTTTTTTAGGCAATTAAGTTTTTAAATAGGATTTTTTTAATCAAATTTCCCGTTTTAATCTCATGCTTCAAATACATTGACATTGCTTCTCACACAACGGGATTTAAAGGTTTATGCATTATCCCTTGAATGTAGATCTAAACATGTTGATTAAGGGATTCTGAATTGATTAATTCCACATAACCTTTTGGTTTATCTAATCAGTGTTTAGCAATTGTAGGGTCTAGTGTTTGTCAAAACAGCATCAGCATCAGCATATAAATATATATAAATATATATATATTTAACGCAGCCCAAAAGATTAATTAAAGTTTTGAAAACTATTGGAGCACTATCTAAAGCTATTATAATAGCACCATTCATATTGGAAGTATATATAAGTGTACCTTCACTTTATTTATTGGCATCTTCTCTCCCCTACTTTTTTCCCCGACCTTTAAAATCAAAGTGCAAATCATATTATTTGCTTTCAATCTCTTTAATCATTGTAAATTTGTTAGCTTTTTTTTCCGTTTTGTTTTCCTCCTATTTTTTATTTATTCAAAGGTCTTTTAATGAAAAAGTGCCACATAGATCCATGATACAATAGTTTCAAAATCTTGGATGATGCTTTTCAAAAAGTAAATTTGATTTGGAGAACCTATTTTATTTCATATGTATAGTTTTTGAATAGAATTAAAAATTAATTAAAAAAGTCAATTGCCCATATACCACCTTTTTGAAAGAATAGGAATATATAAGAATAGAAATAAATATTTTGCCGCCCATGTTTGAGGGATTTGACTTTTATTTTAGGGGGTGTTTGGGTAGAAATGAAACTATGATTTTAAAAATACTTTTACGGTATACAAAGTAAATATATGGAAGAGTTTGTCTCGTTTTGCGGAAAAATACTTCTGGAAAGCACTTTTGGGTGCTTCCAAACACCCCTTAGTTTCTTAAGAGATAGCTAATTATATTATTTTTGCTGTTTATTTGCTTAAATATGTTTTTGTTAAATAAATTTTATTGTTCATATCTAATTTTACCATTATAATTTTTTTTAATCAATTTATGATAAGTGCATTTTTTTGTTGAAACTATTGTATGATTTAGTGATCTTATCCTTCTCTCTGAATAGGGAACTTGATCCTAAATATGTGAATAAAGAAAATAGTTGTTAAGAAAATTGTCTCTTTAATAGATACCCATCAACTTTGGCTCAAATTATTTGTATGTTAAGAATGTAATTAATTAAAAAAAATAGTATTTATCCTTATAAAAAGATAGTTTTACCAACAGGGGTTGGGTGTAGTAGAAGAGGTTAATCCCTCATAACGTGACGAACCAAGATTTGAATATCATTAGGAGAGGTGCCCATATTTAATACCCGATAGTGCTTCGAGTAGGATTGCCTCCAATAGGAGGATACTTATGCTGCTTTAGCAAAAAATAAAAAGATAGTTTTTAGTTTTATCAAAAGACGTAGAGGGACTAAGAAAAATATTTAATTAAGTTATGGAAGAAAATCTCATAGTGATCAATATTTCGAAAGAATTAATTATTAATGACTGGTATTACTATTGTATTGGAAACATCAAACCTCAACTTGAATTAATCACAAATTAATACAACTTTAGATTATAAAAAAAAAAATCAATCTTTAATAAAGATTTTGTAAATATGCTCGTGACGTTTTTTCCCAGCCACGAAAAAAGGTCCTCCTGAAAAAAAAATTCTCAAACTTAGTTTTGTAGAGATTTATATAGAAATCCAATCAAATAAAGTTAGGATCAAATTTGATAAATTGAAAGAAAACTTGAGCCATGAAAGTGGCATACCTATTTGTGAATACAATAGCAGCACTTAATGTCGGAATAATTTAAGCTTTATTTATGCCATTCCATTGGAAAAGTATATGAAATTATTTAATCAAAGTACTGCCTCCTTTTTGTTTAATTTTCAAAATGAGAGAATGTGAATGGATAGGACATTAGGCCCTTGGGTCTAAACCAAAAGCTAGCTTATGAGTAAGAGGTATTCAAAGGATATTTAAACCCTGTGGGCGTCAGGACTTCAGGCGATGAATTTGTTCGCAGTTTCACTCATGATATGGTAATATATTCTTACTCACATTCACAAACAATATCTCACTTCTGTCAAAAATTGTGCTGGCTCTGATACCACTTCGAGGGTGTTAGCTAAACCGGACCAAGCTAACATAGTATGATATCTAAGGCTTTAGTCTAGGTAAGACTACTCATTCTCAACTCATTAATGGGTCATGTTAGGACTCTCGGCTACAAGTCAATGTAATAATTAATAATTAAATTAAATGGCGTGACATTATTAACAAATCCACCATTGAAGAATGAAAAGGGGGAGACCTAAAGATCTATCTTTAAACCTAAGAAAAAGAAGAACCCATAAAAACAAAAAATAATAATTAAAAAAAAGAAAGAAAGTAAGAAAGAAACCAATGGAGTAAAGATGGCTTTTTTGAAAATGGATGAACAATTCATTTCATCTTTTATTGAATAGTTGTGTATGTGGCCTATTGTGATTGCTCACCACGGTGGTCATGGCCTAGGCCTTCATATTATATATGATATAGGGATATATTCATGTAGGCAGTTAGTTTTCAAACTTTTGTGCTTTAACCCGTCACCTTCTTAAACCTTCAAAAAGCCACAACAATCATGGCATGAGACTCCCATTCCCATACCCTACAAAATTACTTAAGTAGAGGGCTCCAACTTGTTCCTAACCTCTAATAAAGGCCTATTTATATTCATTTTTTATAGGTTAGGACTAATTTCTTGTAGTTGTAAAACATACTTCCCTAGTTCCACCCTATTTATATACAACGAAAAAAAATTTGAGGATAACATATTTTTATTTAAAAAAGATACCAATAAATTATCTTGAAATATTTAGTACTACCTCCGATCCTAATTATAAGAACTAGTTAATTAATTTAAAGAGATTAAGGAAAGAAGTTAAGTTAGTTATTTGTAGTAAATGTATGTTGTCTTTCCTAAAATATTTTTGCTAATCAAATGTATTAGTTAGAACTACCATTATTAGAAGGACTACTTTGAAAAAAATATATATAAATATGAGAGACAAGATAGATTGGAGTCTTATATTTGGGACCAAAATAAAAGTCAAATAAAGTCTTATATTAAGGACCAAAGGCAGTATCATTTTTTGTTTTTACTTTTTTGAAGAATTGGGATGGCATTTACTAAAGAGAAAATAATAGAAAATCACATAAGATGGTTTGGACATGGGTAATGACGATAAATCAAGCAGTATTAAGTATCTGAAAACAGGTAGAGTAGGATTAAAGAGAAGAGCTAATAAAATTATTGAGCAGAACTTTTCAATTAATAATTTATTCAAAGATTTAATTATTGATGGAGCACAATAACATCATATGATTCATGTAGCTGGCTCTACCTAAGTTTATTGTCATTGTTGTCGTAAAGTTTATTGTCATCCTTGTCATTTTTTCATTTTCCCCCATGAATTATTGGCTAATACCTCTCTCTCTCTATCTCACTCTCTCCATAAATAGAAATATTTGTTCTAAAAAAGAATAAGTAGCAATTTTCTTTACATATCTATTGTGTTTAAACTCACTTTGATGGTTGATTTGTTTATGTTAATGAACATGAAAAGTCATATCAAGAGAATTTTTCCAATTAAGGAGGATATATAACATGAATTGGGATTGTGGTGGAAGTGGCAGAATGGCAGTGGTGGTGTAGATAGTGGCTTTTGGTGGAGGGAGAGAGAGAGAATAGCTGTGAGTGGAATGGGTGACTGGGATGCAAAGAACAACATCAATCAAAAAGTGGGTAACACAGCCACGTGAGTGTCCCACCACCAAGCACCTCCACCATGAACCCCATGAATCTCTGTCTGAGCTGGCCTTAGCTTCATTTCAACGCTAACCGCCAAAACTAACTTACTTCTCCCCCCCCCCCCTCAACCCAACCCAGTTAAGTTAAATTCATGTGAGTTAATTCCCAACCTAATTTTTGTCCATTCAATTATTTTTACTCCATTGTTTTGACTTGTTATATGTCATCGTTATGTCATTAAGTGTCATGAATTAGACTTCACTAACACAATTATTTTACTTACTAGAACAAACCACAAGTTTCAATTTGAGAGTAAAAGTTGTAACATAAATCAGATTAAAATTCTCTAACACTAAAACCAACCTCTTTTTTTTTTAATTACCCCTCTACAAAATAATCTAACGATTTGTTTGTGATATATATTATAATTAAGTAATTTAATAACTTTTTTGACCTTTTTAATTAATTAATTGGATATTATATTAAGGATATGATATAATAGTATATGAGAAATAAAGACTATTGTAATATGTTTATAATTTACCTTTCTCCTCGGCAAAATCACTTTAGACCGTGATACCGTGGTTGCTTTATCTCCCTTGCAAAAGCAAACCCAAAAAGCCACGAACTCAGGGTTAAGCCAAGAGGAGATGAGTACCAAAAGAGTAAATTAAAGCCATCAAAGGATTAAATTTTAAAATATTGAATATGGCTAGAAAAGTTTTTCTTTTTTGAGTAGTGAAATTTTTTTTAGGTAAACTAGAAAAGTTTTTTTTTACCAGTTAAAGTATTGATTAAGTAGAAAAAATTTTCATTTTTTTTGTCATCAATAAAATTTTTAATGGCTGTTTTTCGTCTAATTTTTCCTAAAAAATTTTACTTTCACGTCAAGTAGCATTAATTTATGGTGCTGTTTGTGGACTATGATTCCCCTTTGAGCTTACATTTACACATTCATGAACATGATTGCCTTATTTGACAATACTCCACGGTCTCACCTCCAGCTCTGCCTCCACTACTTCCCTCTCCTCTTCCGAATATGCTAGTGGTTCTTCTTCCTTCTCCTCCCTTCCCTTAAAATGTTAGCAGCTTCCTTCTCTCTCACCCTAATCCCTTCAATCATTTCCACTATTCTGTAAATGGGGTTTCAATTTCTTCACTATGGAAGACAAACAGCCACCACAATCCGCCCTTGTTCATGACCCTCCTCCTCCTCCTCCTCCGTCTATCCCCAGTCATCATGATCATATTGATCCCGTCAAAGAAGAATCCCCCAGAAAACCCGTCACCGGCGGCGGCGCCGGTGGAGATAGGTTGAAGAGAGATGAGTGGAGTGAAGGAGCTGTGTCGACGCTTTTGGAGGCGTACGAAGCCAAATGGGTGCTCCGGAACAGAGCCAAGCTCAAGGGCCATGATTGGGAGGACGTCGCCAGGTACGTGTCTTCACGCGCCAACTGTACCAAGTCTGCTAAGACTCAGACTCAGTGCAAGAACAAGATCGAGTCGATGAAGAAACGGTACCGTTCCGAGTCGGCGTCCGGGGATGCATCATCGTCTTGGCCGCTGTATTCGCGTCTTGATCTTCTGCTCCGTGGGACTGGGCCTACTGCGTCCACCACGACGATGGCTGTGCCGCTTGCCGCGGCCGCGGCGGCACCGTCTCAGGTGACTCACCACGGCAATAACCAGGGTTTTGTGTTGTTGGAGCCTCCGTTGGCGGTGGCTCAGCTACCTCATCAACTACAGCCGCCTCCGGTGGCCGTCGCCGCTCCTCCTCCGATAGCCAACGCTCAAAACTCTCACGGATCCAACGGTATTGACAGGTTAGCCAAGGTAAATGCACAATTAACTGTAGTTTGAAGCGTAGAGTGCTTGTATGAATTAGGACGAAACTAACACAACGACTACGATTGTGACTGAAGATTACTCACTCTATTTTTACCTCGATCCAAATTCATTTTAACAAGAAATTTTTATCCGGATAATAATCAAAATTTGAAGCTTAATTGGTTGAGAGGTAACATAAGCATTACCTTCGCCTGAGTCTGGTTTGATTATAGATAACGTATCTCTTGTTTCTTACCATTCTATGATCTCTCTCGGGAAAGATTACAAACTAGCGACTGTAAGGCACAGTTAACAAACGTTGGAATGATTGATGAAACAAGTCTTACAATTTGAAAAATATGAGCTTTTTTATGGGTTTGATCTGAGTTTCCTCTTTGCCACACAAAATCATTATCTTCATTGCAGAAGTTAGGGAGATACACGTTTGCATAAAGAATAAGGATTTTATGTCTTTAAAGGAAAGCTATTAAAGGCCATTTATTGGATGGTCGGCAAATATGAGTCATCAAAAGCAAGTAAGGGTCACACTCAAAATAATTATTGCATTGACAAAATATAGTGCCATATTGCAGTTTTGGCTGCTAACTCATCCTGGCTGTCAAATATGTTTATCTATTAGTAATATCCTTCTCCGATCCTCAATATATGAGTTATATATAAGACCTATTTTGTATGTTTATCAGTTTTTTTTTTTCAAATTAACTCTATTGATATTCTTTCAACAGTAATCAAATATAAGAGGGGGGAGGGAATTAAGAAAGATGTTTAGAATGTTTTAGAATAAAACATATCATATTAACTAATTTAGCTAACATTCTTAATATACTTAAATTAGTTAATTAGGTCTTATATTAAAGATATGAAGAGTACTATTATATGATTTGTGCAAATGATAAAGTTAATTCTATGCATAATCTTTTGAAGAATCACTCTTCGTACTTAACATGTGTGTGGAGGATTCAGTAAAAACTCATGGATTCATGTCTTGTGAATATTATATATCAAAATATGTCAAAGATCAGTTTATTTCAAAAAATGAAGCTAATATGATTGTATCTCTTTTATTATGATTTATCTTATGGAGGTTATGCATATTTTAAATTTAGGTTTAAATTCATTAGAATCTGATTGAAAAAACTTTGTTAATCTCCTGCATTTAAGAAATTTAATATTTAATAAATAAATAGTACAAACTAAAAGTGGGCATAAAGTTCACTTCTTCTTCTTTTTACCTTTTTTTTATATTTTCTTGTTAAATGTAGAGAATGTAAATTCTCTAAAACAATTTTTACTTATTAGCACCAATAATCAGCTAATATTTTAATCGATTGATGATTTCATCTGCATCTATATATATAATCAATACTACTACTGGATTGACATGATAACACATTGTGTTGCGAGGACTGGAAGAATAAATATTTGGTGTAGTAATCAATACTATGCATTATCAAATTACATACTTACTAATGACTTTTCATTTATAATGAACAGGAAGATGGATTAGGGACGAACAAATCATCAGATCAAGTGTCCAACAAGAACATGAATGCAACTCTGGACACAGATAGCAGCACACCAGCCCTGTATAGCCATTCAAAGGATCACCCAACAAGAAGTAACAACAACAACAACAAGCGGAAGAAGAAGATGGATCATCGAAGCAACATGAAGAAGATGAAGAGAAAGAGCGCAGAAGGGAAGTTTAATGAGATGGGAATAGCAGAGAGCATAAGGTGGCTTGCAGAGGTAGTGGTGAGATCAGAGCAGGCGAGGATGGAGATGATGAAGGAGATCGAGAAGATGAGGGTTGAAGCAGAGGCCAAGAGAGGAGAAATGGATCTTAAAAGAACTGAGATCATTGCTAATACCCAGCTAGAGATTGCTAGGATCTTTGCAAGTGTCAATAATAATAAAGGTGTTGATTCCTCACTAAGAATTGGTAGGAGTTAATTAATTAATTAATCAATCATGTGTATTAGTTAGTGTATAGAGTTGATTATTTAATCAATATATATAATGTTATATTGATGAGAAAACTATGGGGAGATGGAGAAATTTGACTGTGTAACTGTCTAACAGCAGGACAAGAGAGTGACAATAACTTCTCCTAACCCATTATTGTAAACTTAATTTGCAGCCTCCTCTCTCATTAATTAAGAGAACCAAGGGCTGCTTCTTCTTTTTAGATTATAAATCGTGATGGTCGTAATTATGATAATTTAGTGGCCAAACATGTTAAAGATATTATCAATGTTTAGTTTTACCAATTTGCTGCCAAATGTGGAAATTTTAAATTACATATAACTGAAAAATATAGAAAATTTGGGTTCATTTTGACCAAAATGTTATGCGAAGTACTGATTCGGATTATGAATGTCCACTATGCTAAACAATGGAATGTAACGTGGATAATTTCTAAATCCCACTGGAACTTTGCTTGATATCTATCTTGTCTCTCTCAAAACAAGACCAAAGCCAAACCCCACCCCACCCGAAAGAATCTCCACCTTCAATTCCAGACTACTTTGCATTTCTCTCTCATCCATCATTGTTCTAACGGCTCAGGCGCTAGAAATGGTACGAGATCAATTGATACAGAATAAGGTTACATTTGCTTAATTTGTCCGCAACTATGTGATTGGGTTTGTTTGCTTTCTGGGGTACCTATGTGATTTGGGTTTCAAGGAAGGAAATTATGCCCTAAAAATGATGCAAACTGAGAGAAAGGTGATTGACTGGAGTCTGTATTCATGCTATTAGTGGCTACTTTATTTTCCCTCCATCATCACTTGTCTCTTGCCCAGCAAGCAAACAACGATTTTCACTCTTCATTGCCATACCTCTGATTTTGAATCCTTTATATAAAAATTATTTAGCAATCAAATCATTTGCTTTCCAATTCCCAAGCCATCTTATAGCTTGGGCAAAATCAATGTCCCACGGAATGCTCTTATTTACAAGTTCTTTATATGATGAAATTAAAGACAGTATTAGTGGAAGGGCGAGAAAAAGTTTTTGGTGGGGTGGGGAGGGAGAAGCTGAAGGTAAAGGACAACCACCTAACGTTGCTTGTTATGAATGCTGGTCAACACTGAGAAGCAATAAAAGAAGAGTGCCCACTGCTCAAGAAATGAATTCATCACTTATGACCTGTCTTGAATTTTCTTATTGGTTGCTCATACATGTTTTAGTGAAGAATTCATGAGCTTTTTTTTTTTTTTTTTGGGGGAACTGACAAGGACTCATGAGTTTTCAGATCTTGTGTTATGAGTCTAACATTGGCAGCCTCACAAATATAGGGAGTTTATAAGTTCAAGATTCCCTTTCTCCTAACAAGCTAGTTTATTAGAATTGGGTTCTCCCTTTAAACTTATACTCATCGTATCTTAGGGCTGTGCAGAGTGTAACTTTACCATTGCAGCAAGATTCTTAAGATTACTGCACAATTTCATTGTGTATAATTTTTGGATAATGCATACGTGAGAACAGTGTCACTAATCTGTGGATGGAGACATCATTACAGGGGCAGACTAGTTGGTTTAAAAGCTTTGATCACACTCAAGAATCACACAAAAAGGGAGTAACAAGTTTGGTTTCAACCAGGAGAGTGATGAGTTAGTCAGGGTCAGAAGGAGCTCTTTGGTCATTTTCCATCTGGGAAGGATGAACAGAGTTGAAAAAAGTTCTCTTTTCCTTATAGGTGAAGTTCTTTAGTTGTTTGTTATTAAGTTCTTCAATAAAAACATAACATATGGATATATCACAGTTCCACATATAATTATTCTATTGAAAGATCTAACCAGCAAATATTCAAGAACTGCAATTAATTTTTTTCCTTCAAAACAATGTAACATAACATCACAATGACTGACACTTCGCAACTAGTGTACAAGACAAATGACTATACTTCTGTAACACAGAAATGGGTGTGAGCTCTCACACCTGAAAATATCATAAGCTAAATTTAATGTTGTGATTCTATCATTCGATGTTTTACATTTTAAGAAATCATGACACAGACTCATTGATTCTTGTCTGATAGAAATGGCCACACTAACCTGTCTTCTAGATAGTCCAAAGAGTCTTATCACTTATCTATGACTCTTCATCGTTTTTTACTTTTGTTTTGTTTGCATTCATCGGAACTGCCATTTTCTTTCATAATTTTTAACTACCTTTTTGGTAGATCAGGTGTCACATAGTGCTATGTTTTAAACTTAGTAGGACAACACATTTCAGTCAGTTGTGCAGTTTCTATATCTATGTTACTTCCCTCAAAACGCCTCAATCACAAGTGCTTTAGACTGGGATCCCCGAAATAACCTTTCAGATTTACTACCTCCGGTTCTTAGTATAAAACCCCGTTGACTAATTGGAGAAGATTAAGAAAATTACTAAATTAATTAATTATAACATATATTACATAATCTCTCTAAAACACTTATGCATATCATTAGATTATATATTAATTTATAAGTAAGACAAATTAGTTTGTAAAAAAATGATGAACATAAATACTTTGAAGTAATTTAGTAACTTTTTTAATCTTTCCAAATTAATTAATTAGGTTTTATATTAAAGACCGGAGGTAGTAGTTTATAGAACTTGTTGTTGAGTATGGGAACTGTGAAATTATCATTAGAGTAAATATAGATCAATGAGTACGAATTTACGCTTGATATGCAGGTTAGAAGCCAATTTACGTGCAAAATACATAAACCTACGTACCAACAAAAAAGATTCATCAGAGACATACTGTTCTTGATAAAGCAAATGCATGAACTTGGTTATTATCACATACTTTAAGAATTCTGTGTCATTTCAATTAAGCTGTTTCATCATATCCTTTTACAGGTTAAATCCTCTTGATCGCTATCTTTAAGATAAATACCCCCCAATAAATCAGAAGATCATGCATTGCTTTTACTTTTGTAATGGGTCACAAACACCAACGTTAACGTTATGTGTTGCTGTCATATATACTATTTTACATCCTTACAAAGACTGAATTTATTTGTAATCTGCAACAGATTTAGACCTCAGGGAGATCATTTTCTGGTGAAATTTGATTGTGGCAGCTTACAAGGAGCAATTGAACTTATTGCTTTTTCAGGTTTGAGGCGGCCAGCCCTGTTTTTAATCGGGCCGACATCAGCAAAAATGACTGAAGGCCCTGTCCCAAAACAGATGATACAAGATATCCTTGTAAAGGAGATGCGTGAGAAGTAGAAATTCTTTGGTAGATCTGATCTACAAAAGATCTGTAAATCAAGTCAATTACAAATACTACTTCCGGCTCTTCATATAAAAGTTAGTTGAAGGTTGAATTTTATCCTAAATATAAAATCTCAATTCATTTTGTTTCACATCTTTTTCCAAAATATCCTTATTGATTGCAAAGAGTTCTTATCAGGGAATAATTCTAATCATTCAATATACATGGTTGAAAATGATAGTTTAGAGAGATCAACAGACAAATAACAAGCTTCACTAATTTTCTTAATATTCCCAAATTAGTTATGTAACTCTAATATTAAGGACCGAAGTTACTTTGTAATAATCATGTTAGAAGTAGATTCCATTTAAATGTATACTTGATATTGATCCTATGAAAATCCTAATCTTTCTTTAATTTCAATAGGATCCTGATTTAAATCACAAGTGCCTTGGATTTTAATCTTACTGATCTCATCACAACTTCCGGATTTATAGTTGATTCAAATCATAGGGTCAGCCTCTTCTTAGTTAGGTGTAGTAAAGGGAATTCAAGCAGGAAAGGAGGGGTCATAGAGTTGCAAGAAGATGGGTTTAGCTCTTATCATTCTTTGGGTTTACTTTCAAGTGTATTTTGGGATATGTCAGAAGTAATTTAGATGGTTCTCTACTTATTTGTGAGCAGTATAAACATACTTATATTTTTAATTGTTATTTTTCATTTGGAGATAGGCATCTTCTCTTATGATTTGATGTGTTTGTTACATCAAACTTGACAGCCTTACTGACTCATCTATTCATAATTGACCTGGTTTACTTTTCTTTTACAGACCAATATTAAAACTTTTGACAAAAAGAGTACAGTGCTTCACCCCTCTTATAGTTGTTAGTCTGGATCCTTGAAGCTTCGTTTCGAAACGGGAGAATACTGGGAGGAAAATTTCCAAAAGTTAGAGAAAAAATCCAGTAGAATTTTCCCCTCTAGTATCCCCCCTCCCTTCCCCCCAAAAAAAAAAAAAGAGAAAATATCTCCCTAATCCAAATAAAGGGGCTAAAGTTAATGTAGAAGGAACATTTGGAAGGAACTAGAGAAAAAGGGACAAATTAATTTGATTGTGATCTGGCTCTCATGTGCAACCGTATTTTCTTGTACTACTCTGCGATCCTATCTAACTTGATATAATTGGGGTCCCTGGCTTGTTCTGTGTGGTGTGATGTTAGCCTCTCCAGTACAAAACTGATGTCCCAACTACTTCATCTGATGTTGGCTTCTCAGGGTTAACTTGTATGGTGATCTTCCTGTAAACTTTGAGCTCAATATTTTTTTACTAGTCTGTCAAATACAAAGACATCTTAACACGCAAACATAGTATTCATCAAAGATGGCTATTGAAAACATGTTTGTGATATATGTGGTGGTTATGTTGAGACTTAAGCATTATATACATAAATATGCTTAAATTTTCTCATCCTGTCCATTCACCAACCGGTTCGTGGGGAGCAATGGAAAGTGACAGGCATAGGGTGCAGGACATCCTAGGAAAAGAAGAACAGAAACAGAGGAAAGACAACCAAACAAGTTTCACTGAGAAGGAAGCTTACATATTATTTCTTACAACTGCAGGATTCATTAGTTGTCGGATGTGCAGGGCACATGAATGTTACTTGTTATTGCAGGAGGACCTAGAAGGCCCTCTTAAAAGTTGGTGGGTGAAATGCAATGTATGGTGAGAAAGAGAATTTAAAAATCCTGTCTCATGGGTCTCCCTGCTTTGGTACTTTGTACTGTAAAGCTGGTTAAGTTTAGAATCATCATTCATCTTTTGCTGGTTAATAATCCTGTCAAAAACAGAACTTGGGCTTGTATTATTACTGGCAAGTTTGGTGTTAAAGCTGTCCAAAAGGTTTGTTTGTGCATTTAAATTTACTCATGTTTGCGTGAGATAATGAAACTCTGTCAAGAAATGGGAGAGGCAGGATTGGATGTACCTGGAAAATAAATGAACCGTATGAGGAAAAAGAAGTT